TATCTTGGGGTTCCATCAGGAGGCCCTTGTCTTTGATGGCCTCAAAAATTTGGCTCACTGGATAGGCCAAGGGGACATAGCGGTCGTCCGGCTGCGTCTGAATGTCTCCGGACGGAGCCTTCCAAGGGACCATCGCCCCGTCCGCCTTCTTCTTCTTGTTTGGGGGGGAGGGCCCGGCCCCCGGTCTGGGTCCGAGCCTTTCCGCCATCTTCCGTGGCTGGGCCGCGGGAACTCCGTCCCGCTGCCTGATCTCCTCCTCGATGGAGGCACACTTCTGGGCCCGAGCCAGAACCTCGGTGTAGCTGGTGTCGGGGTTCCTCCTTAGGTCCCGGTACAGATCTCCAGTGGCCAGGGCACTGGTGAACATGTTCGTGGCCAGACGTTCGTCCAGATCATCGACCTGCAGGACTTCGTCCCTCCACCTTACCAGGAACCTAGCCAGCGGTTCGTCCCGCCCTTGTTTGATGTGGGCGAGAGCCGTGACGTCCTTCCTGGGGGTGGTGCTGGCGGCAAATTGGGCCATGAACTGCCGGGACAGCTGTTCATATGAGTCGATGGTGCCTGGCCTCAGCTGGCCGAACCACTCTTGCGCCGGCCCCCTGAGGGTGCTGAAGAACAATCTGCAGATGGCCTCGACGCTCATCACCCGGGGGGTGAAGGGTGATGTGAGGGAGAAAGAGGGCGTGGCCGAGCCGACATCTGTCCGTCTGTTCATCTCGGCTATCTGCCGCTCCATCGCTTCCAGCCTTGCATCCTGTGCGGCCCTTCCGGGGGACACAGGGGGCGCGGCCTCGAGGGCAGTGTTTCGCTGAGCGGCCGTAGCATCGTGCGGCCGCCTAAGGATTTGTGCCCCTCGCCGCTGGAAACGTCGTCCAACGGTGTTGATCCTTGGGGTTTCATCCCCACGCGAAACTTGGCGGGGAACTGATGGCGTGTGTGCCCTGAAAGCAGCGGTGCTGACATTGGTTCGCCCTCCCGTTCCATGGGAGCCTGAACCTCCGCCTAGCCGCTCATGGACTGAGGGTCGGTGGTCGCTGGACCCTGTCGTATCATCGTACGACTGCATGTGGCGGATGGGAGAGAGGGGTGTTCGCTGGGTGCTTGCAGAGTACACCTGCTCTTGAGCCTCCCGCTCGTCTGCCAAACGGCGCATGGTGTCAGCAAGTTCCCGCATGAGGCGGGGATCCTGCCTGGCCTCAAGGGGAATGAGGTCAGTGATACCCCCGTTTCCCCCGGAGGTCCATATCGTCGTGGATAGTTCCGAGTTCTGGCCGCGATTCCGGCGGCTTGATTCCAGACGCTCGGAGAGGTCACGCTGGTTGTTGCTTCCTGACATCGTGCTTGCTGTAGGTAGATTTAGTAGCTGTTTGGGAGAGTTTCTGGAAACTTTTTGTTCAGTTTCCCACAGACGGCGCCAGTGTTGAGGTTTATTCCTTCAACCCTCAGGCCCAACACGTAAGCCCGAAGATTTCGAGTGGAGTGAGTGTATGAATATGTGAATATCTAGCCCAACAACTATCAGATGGATCAGGAAATAGAGGATATAGTAAGCAATGTAAATAGGTATTATTAACTTCGTAATAACTCCCCTAAGTACAATCTACTTGCTAAAAAAGGCACGTCGGTCGTTCGTCTTGCTAGGCAGTAATCTCAGCTGCGAGCAAGAGGTATAAGCTAGGATGCTAAGAATAGAAAGTTGCCAACCCTTTACAATGAAATAAATGCTTCCATTTATATCCACCAATGGGCAGGTGGCTACTGACGTGGCAGCCTGTGGACCGCTGGTGCCCCAACCACCAAATCTTCAGCATTAAATGCACTTCCCGCCAGAATCTAGGTTTCCCGCCTAATCAGTGGGGACGTTCGTCTGCCCGGGAAGTGAGTTGGATCGCTCCAAGTGACCCTCAAGGGGTACCGGCTGTTCGTCTCCTGGCCTTAATGGATACCCATCACGTGGACTGGGTTTCCTCCGATGACTATAGGCTTGCTCTGGAGACGTTCGTCGTCATCCCTGGTGGCCCGTGGTCCTGCTCCTTGTCCCTGCATAGACGTTCGTCGAGATGAGCCGTTGGGCCTGAACCCCCGACCCCAGACGTTCGTCCCTCCTCAAGGAACATGGGCCTGCGGGCTAGCCTTGTGTTCTAACTGGACGTGCGTCTGGTAGGAAAGGGGTTAATGGGCCGGACCTCGGCTTGGGCCCTTAACCCAACAAAGTTAATGCAAAGGACAATTTTAGATATATTTTTAATGTAATTTTTCTTAATTTGATTAATACATAAATTTTAATCAATTCAACTATTTCATCCAGAATTTCATAAATTTGAGCATATTGAGTCGATTAAGTTAATTGTAGTGTTATCAAACAAACCTCACACTTTTGTCCATATCAAGGTTATTGCGGCCGATGGGGTTTTATGCGGCCTGATGCTACCATATATGTTTTGGTTTTGTTGCGAATTTTGCCAGTGAATAGAAATGTATATCACGGTCATTGCGGCCTGATGTGGTTAGGCTGCGGACCGCAACCACATAATTGTGACCGCAACATATGCTTTGGTTCATAATTTAAAATCATTGTCCATATTTTTTTCACCAGGTTAAGTTTGTTACTCCATTCGATTTTGTAAAAAACATTTTACTCTTTGTCTAACAAAATATATATTTTTTCCTAAATTAAATCTGATTTTTTATTTCTCACTTTGTTTATTATCTATCATTTCATTCACTTCATTTTGAATGTGTACTGCACTTTTTTACTTTTTGCGTGTTAAAAATGTAAAACAGCTACTCTACCTTTATTTTTTCAAAATGCGCCAAATTAAATTGTATCTTAAATTAGAAATTGAATGGTGGTGGTTAATTTTACGATCCCCCAATAACTTTACATTTCAATTAAAAAAAGTCCTTAATGTGGATAAATTTATCAGCTATATGTCCAATTATGCAAGTGAGTAAAGTTACAGGTTTAATAGCAAATACATCCAAAATTAAAATTATAGGACTAAAGTAATATATCTCAAAGTTTTTTCATATCCCAAAATTCTTTTCAATTATTTTTCTTAATTGATTAATACAATATCATTTTATTCTTTAATATTCCGTATTAATTATAAGATTGTAATCATTTTATTCTCAAATTTTGATAGTTGATTTATAATCACTTTAGATATGTGATCATTTGTGTTTCAATGGAATGTTAGCATAGTTTGTAGTTTGTAGATATATATATTTTTGTAAAGTAAATTGAGAAGAATTAACTTGATGAGTTAAACAATGATTTTAATGGTAATGTTAACCATTATGGTACTCCGTATTTGTATTGAATGATTTTTTTTTATCTGGCTGAGCCATGAAGAGTCCAGTTCTATTGGCTGTTACATGTTAATTTCTTTCTTAGCTATTAATTAGTCATAAAAAGTGGAACTATTTAATGCTTCCTAGCTTTTTTAGCCGTAATATTTAGTGTGAGCTAAATGTGATGTTATTTATCTCTTTGTTAACCAATGAGAGAGTGACAAATAAGTTATTCATAATTCAGTTTTTAACTTAATTTTGCTATATAAATTGATTGATGTTTTTTTATATATTTTTATATATATCTTCCAAAAAAATATTTTTATATATATCATATTGGTGTCATATGAAAGATCTTAAAAAATTATGAATTTTGATACTTTTTTTGTAAAATTTGGATTATAAATATGAAAGTTATATCACTTTAAAAAAGAGAGATTTTTTCTCCAACTTTTGCTCTAAATCAGCCGTAACTCAAGTTTTAATTGTGGTGGACATTGAATTTAATTGATTTAATTTTAATGATAATTGAATTTGCATGATCCAATAAGAAGTTGACACATCATTGTTTTTTAACTCAAGTTTACTATATAAAACTATAGATATTATCGAATTCACTGTTATACAGAGTAAAGTAATGGTAAATAATACGGAGTAGATACCCAAAAGGCCAAATTATCGAATTGGTAAAAAATGTGATTTATAAAATTGGTAAAAAAAAATGGATGACTAAAAATGTAGACATGAGTGTTATGACAATTAATACTAGTGGATTTTGTTAAATGTTTTAACCAACAGCTTTCATTAATGGTGATGGACTATTGTGTTAAAGAGAAGATAGAGCTAGAGAAAGAAAATGATACAGAAATTGCCCTAAATAGGAGTAAAAACGTTTTGAAATTCCAAAATAAGAGTATCACGTTTTTTATTCCCTAAATAGGAGTAATCTGCCACGTTTGGGGAAAAAATGCCATGTTTAAAGCTTTGTAATGCCAAACCTGGCAGAAATTTACTCCTATTTAGGGAATAAAAAACATGATACTCCTATTTTGGAATTTCAAAACGTTTTTACTCCTATTTAGGGAATTCTCTCAAAATGATATGTATAAATGATTAGTCAATCCCTTACATGGCATCTAATGAGAGTATTTATAGGAGAAATATGAACTGGGCTTCCAAGTTTGGGTCTGGAAGAAACAGTTACAATAAAAGGTCAATCAATGACATATAGATGATAATCATACATAATAATATCTATTATAATTAGTACTTCGTATATATGAGTAAATAGATTGTACAACAATATGAATGTCATCTAGTGAGCATAAATGAGTCGTTGTTCGGATCCAATAATTATGAGATCAGAAGTTCAAGTCCATATACTTTATCATGACTAGGGTTGAGCACAAGGCCAAGATCGAACCTGACCAGAAGCGGGACCGTAACCAGAATTCTCTGAAAAAAATGGACTTAAGACTTGACCTATATAATTCCGGTCTACGACTAGACCGAATTATTCCAGTTTTAATTTTTGGTCTAGGTGTCACGCCCCAGACCGAAATCCAAGCGCGTGTACAACCGCCGTATAATCAAGTGACGTCACCCGCGAGTCAACCTCACTTAATTACACAAGGCGTTCGAGAATATAATCCATCCATACTCAGTAGTAAACATACATAACAACATCACATTTAAACCAATGAATAGCGGAAATATTCAACGGTAAGTCATAAGCCACAACCGGCCAACAACATGGGCATGCAAGCCCCAAAAATAGTTTATAGTAGAACAAATATCCATGAGCAAGTGTTCGGTAGTTTGAAAGAAAATAAGGAAGCACGAACCACGTCTTCCTGAGTCGATATCACCCGTAAGAGAGGTGCAAGTAGCAAGCCCTAGCTTCAACCTGAAAATGGTGGGGCCCCCCGAAGGGGTCAGTACAAGTACCGAGCGAGTAGCAGGCTAAATATAGAATAACTAGCGTTTCAAGTATAAGACCCAAACATAGGGTGATACTTATATAAATAGTCCTTTCCCCCAAGTTTTGAAATACTCATTTGTATATATATACTTGGAAAATACCCGATCCGTAGATCACCGTTTTATTTGGGAAAATAGTAATAGTCAATATTCTTGATTAAAAACCCCAACCCACCCATATACCTATGAGTGTATAGGACTCCTCCTTGTCCCTATTTCAATATCATAATCTATGAGTGTTAAGTACTTTTAAGTACTAGGGTCCTCCACCAAATTTTGAGTGTTAAGTACTTTTAAGTACTAGGGTCCTCCACCAATTTATTATCCGAGTGTTAAGGACTTTAAGCCCCAGGGTCCTCCACCAAGTTTTGAGTGTTAAGTACTTTAAGTACTAGGGTCCTCCACCAAGTTTTGAGTGTTAAGTACTTTTAAGTACTAGGGTCCTCCACCAAGTTTTGAGTGTTAAGTACTTTTAAGTACTAGGGTCCTCCACCAACTTTTGAGTGTTAAGTACTTTTAAGTACTAGGGTCCTCCACCAAAATATTTTCCTATGATCAACCTCCTATCAACCTAGATAGAGTCTATATCATACTTAGTTACTCATAACTAATTCAATACATAAAGCTTATGTATCACAATCCATGCAAAGCCATGCAATTATATAAATGTATAATTAACTAATATCAACCGATATTAATTAATCCATTATCCATCGGTCCACGTTGTCGTTGACCGCCAATTCAAGCCTTGTACATATAAACTTAATCATCATATAATTAAGTTAATAATACTCATTTATGCTTCTTTTACACTTCAAGCTAATATGCATTTTATATAATTCCTCATATCACATTTCATGCATAAACAATTAATTCTTTTCATACAACTTAATCATGTTGGCTAATCACATGTTTAAATATCTTTTAAACATCATTATGAACACATATAACATTTATTTAGGTAATCTCATAATTAACCCAAAAGTTATAAGATATTAAGCCGTCCACTCACCTTGAACTAGCGTTAAGAAGTTCTACCCTTCTTGGTTGAACTCCGATGAAACTCCGGCGACTTTTGGTCAACTCCGGTGACAACTCCGACGACTTTTCCAACTTTGTGAAATCACTTGAAATACCCTTTACAAGTGCCTAACAAGGTTTTATAATCATAAAACCCCTATTAATACAAATAACCTCAAAAAGGTTATTTTCCGGTGAACCGGTCGTTTTGGCTTCTAAGTCCGTTCTTGGACATAGAATCACTTTCCAACCCATTAATCCATACTTATAACATGTAGAACCCTCTTAAGGATTCTTCACATGATATATATATCATATGGTAGAAGAAAAATAAAGAAAAAGTTATAATAAGGTCATTACCTTAATTCTACACACTTTTCCTAGCCTTCTTCCTTCTTTAATCCCACTCCTTGGACTACTTTTGGTTGAGTTCGAGTTGCAGCAATGGAGAGTAGCTTGAGAGCTTCCTCTTCCTCCTCCTTTGATGGTTTGGCCGAAAATATGGGGTGGGTGAGTGAGGAGATAGCCTCTTTGGCTTTTCTCTCAAAATAATGTGGGAATGGGTCCTCCCCATTGTACTTTTGATGCCAAATGCATCTCCTCCTCATTTCCTCTTGTCAACCCAGCTCTCAATTGATGTGTTTAGCACATAAAAACGTGGGGTGGCCCCCACTCATGTGGGAGGTCATCCCTTTGTGTCCCGATGTGTACAATCGGTCCCGAAAGTTGTATTTTTTGGACTGTTTTAAATATATTTTATTTTATCGGGTCAAATAAAATATATTATGTGCTCTTACTCATTATGACATGTATAATGAATATACATTCCCCAACTTTAATTTATAAGCCCCCGAAATTCAGTTCGGGCTGTCATCAGTTAAATTACCAGTACCGGTAATTTGGGCTTCTTTTGACCAATCGGTCAACTCCGGGCCTTTCCATGGCCCAAATGAAATATCCATCACTATATATTTATTATATAGACCACGATGAATAAAATATATGGTCTCGGGAAAGTCGGGCGGCCCCCGCCCCCGGTGTGGGTCCCACGTGCAATTTACTATTCACGCGAAAGAATAAAAATAAAAATTTACAACTTCGTAAATTCATAAGTCATTCCATAAGGTTTATTACATCATTTACGTAAAAGTAAATACATTTGGGGACGGTGTTACACTAGGTCGGTATTGGACCGGATTTTTAATTTATTATTTTTACAAAAGTAGTTTCGATTGTCCAAAAATCGGTGTTCTAAAAGGCCTTAGGCGCTAGTCGGGCGCCAGTTCAGTGCCTAGCGGCTAGGCTACCAGGCGGGCGCCTAGTCGGGGACTAGTCGGAGACATAGAAATTGCATTTTTATCTATATTTTTTTATGATAAGTAATGTTGTATTCGTGTGTCTATAAAATACATATATACACATATATTAATAAACATGAAGCTCAGGATATATTTATCAAATTTAATCATACATAGTATGATAGTATATGATAACTAATCACTTAACATCATTATGTTATAATATGAATATTAATAAAATTTAGGTATATATACAAACATATATAGTCTTTATCTTAATTTAGAACTTCATTTCTTTATATCTGGGGCTAAAGTTAAAGTACTTATATCGCTTAGAAAATTAAAATTATAAAGTAAAGTACTGTTCGGCGAATTTAGATGACCTAGGTGGCCAATTAGGCGCTCTGGGCGGGCAACTAGGCGTCATAGGCGGCCGACTAATTCACCTAGATGGATAATCAATTAGTTGGAGCGCCTAGCCGAAATTGGGGCGCCCAACCACCACCTAGCGCCTAGGCGGGGACTAGTCAGATGCCTAGAATAGAGCCACCTAGCGATTTACTTATTAGATCGTTGTTTGTATTATTATTTTATGGTATTTTAAAGTATGACTTTCATTTTTTATGCCTCTTTTAATAAATACAATGTTGGAAAATGTGTTAATAAATTGCATTAAATGGTAATTTTGGGGCATTTTTTGAGTGGGGTCTACTTCCTATTTTGGTCAGGTCAAAGTGGTTTCAGATTGACCTTGCTTAGGACTACAATTCGATATATGGTACGCTCAAAACCGATAACGGGTGAATGAGAATTTGACTCTCGAAGTTCACTCGTTGAAATGGAGAAAACTAGGAAAAGATGGGCTTCTAGTCTGGTTTTTTCCCACATCGGAAAACCCAAGGGACTTTGAACCCTTTATAAAGGGAAACCCCCCATAAGGAGTTAAGATTCCTAAGGGTAAAGGCTCTCTATGTCGATATGTGGGGCGAAGCAGTTTTGTCAAGCAATTACCTTTTAAAGTACGAGTTGTGGAAAGGTAGACAGTCTTTCTATCAATATTTAAAAGTGTGGGGGGTGTCTTGCTAAGGTGCTTGTACCAACACCTAAGAAAATAAAAATAGGTCCAAAAACGATGGATTGTATTTTTATTGGATGTGCACAAAATAGTAGTACTTATCGGTTTTTAGTGTACGATTTGAATCATCCGTATGTATATAAAAACAGAATACTTGAATCAAGGAATGCATCATTCTTTGAAGACGTATTTCCAAGCAAGACCAACGAAGGACCTAGCACGTCAAAACGAACATTTGACGTAGCTATGGAAAATACTAGCGAGGGGTTCGGAGAAGAAACCGAATCTAGACGTAGCAAACATGCTAGAGTTGAAAAATCCTTCGGACCGGATTTTCTTACATACTTATTAGAATTTGACTCGGATATTCGAATATGTAATGGTAGAAAATGAACCGGATTTTATAACATGTTTGGTAGAAAATGAGCCACGAACTTATACGAAGGCCGTAACGTCAATCGAAGGTCCTATGTGGAATGAAGCCATCAAAAGTGAGGTGCATTCTATCCTACAAAATCACACGTGGGAACTGATTGATCTTCCTCTGGGATGTAAACCTTTGGGATCCAAGTGAATTTTTAAACGGAAAATGAAACCTGACGGTTCCATCGATAAGTACAAGGCCAGACTTGTAATTAAGGGATACAAGCAACACGAGGGTCATGGTTACTTTAACACGTATTCTCCGGTAACGAGAATAAATTCCATTAGGATGATACTAGCAATTGCCACTTTGCGGAAATTGGAAGTTCATCAAATGGATGTAAAAACCGCTTTTCTTAATGGCGATATAGATGAAGAAATCTATATGGAAGTATGGAACAACATGGGGGTTTTCGTGTTCCACGCCAAGAAATGAAAATTTGTAAATTAATTAAATCATTGTACGGGTTGAAACAAACCCCTAAGCAGTGGCACGAAAAGTTCGATCATGCAATGTAAATTAATGGGTTTAAAATAAATGAAAGTGACAAATGCGTCTATGTGAAAAGCACGGTAGACGGCTATGTCATTTTGTGTTTATACGTAGATGATATACTTCATCGTGAGTAGCAATAATGTAATGATTAATTCTACCAAAAACGTGTTAAATTCTAAATTTGACATGAAGAATATGGGGCTGGCCGATTTAATCCTTGGATTAAAATAATTAGAGGACCTGACGGTCTTACGCTAAGCCAATCTCATTACGTTGATAAAATCCTTACTAAATTTAATAAGGATGATTATCAAGAGGTAAGGACGCCATTAGAGTTTTCACCCCACTTTTTGGGTGATATTGGACTTTGCACCCCATTTTCAAAACTTTTAGACTTTGCACCCTATCTACAACATTTTGTGAAGAAAAATTCTTAAATGGGGTGCAAAGGCAAAGACATTTTAAGGGAAATAGGGTGAAAAGTCTAAAAGTTTTGAAAATGGGGTGCAAAGTCCAATATCACCCAAAAAACGGGGTGCAAAGTCAAAATATCCCTAAAAACATACACCTTACCAAAAAACATGGATAATGTATTTTTCAAGTAGAATACGCTAGCATTATTGGAAGCTTGATGTATCTAATGAGTTGTATCAGGCCTGATATTGCCTTTGTGGTTAGCAAGCTGAGTAGATATACTATCAACCCCAGTGATGAACACTAGAAGGCAATAGTAAGAGTTTTGAGATATTTACGAAAAACCCAAAATCTTGGACTACACTATGGAAGATATCCAGCTGTACTTGAAGGGTATAGCGACGCTAATTGGATATCTGACATTAAGAACTCAAAGTCTACAAGTGGATATGTTTTCACTTTGGGAGGTGCAGCCGTGTCATGGAAATCCTCGAAACAAATGGTAATAGCTAGATCCACGATGGAATTTGAGCTATTAATAACCTTGGATAAGTGCACTGAAGAGTCTGAATGGCTACGCCATTTTTTTGAGGATATTCCAAGTTGAGAGAAGTATGTCCCTCCAATATGCATACATTGCGATTGTCAAGCGGCAATTGGAAGGGCACAAAGCAACTTATATAATGGTAAGTCTAGACATGTTCGTCGTAGACATAAAACCATTAAACAACTCCTCACAACGGGTGTTATCACTGTTGACTACGCGAAGTCAAAGGATAACATAGCGGATCCGCTAACCAAGGCACTGGATAGAGAATTGTTGGAGAAGTTATCACGAGGAATGGAACTAAAGCCCGTGAATTGAAAAGTTATATAGTGGATACCCAACCTAGTTGGTCCTAGGTTCAAAAGGGACAACTAAATTATAGAGCGAAGGATGGTCACTGTGGGGTTCACGGACTCCTACCCACTCCTCATTAAAACAGTGACTCCCGCACGAGGTTAGCAAAAACGTTTGATTTAATGATTCTGAAATGTTGATCTACCTGATAACATTGGAAGAGTATGTGGGATACTCGTGAAAGAATCACCTATGTGAGAGAGAAGAGGGTCGCTTCAGAGGAGAACTGTAAAGGCTCAGTTCTTTAGAAACTCTTGCAGAACCAGTTCTTTGGAAAATGTGTTAATAAATTGCATTAAATGGTCATTTTGGGGAAATTTTTTGAGTGGGGGGTTTTGGATTGTCCTTGCTTAGGGCTACAATTCGATATATGGTATGCTCAAAATGGATAACGGGTGAATGAGAAATTGATTCTCGAAGTTCACTCGTTGAAATGGAGAAAACTAGGAAAACATGGGTTTCTAGTGTGGTTTTTTCTCACACTGGAAAACCCAATGAACTTCGAACCCTTTAAAAAAGGAAACCCTCCTTAAGGAGTTAAGATTCTTAAGGGTAAAGGCTCTCTATTGCGCGAAGGGGGAGGTGCGAATCAAATCCCGAAATCGGAGAACAAAAAGCGCGACTTGCGTGCGCGGACGACCTGCGGACACGAATGCCGTCCGAAAATATATCTTCTAAAGATAACGTTAATTTTTGTACTTCCGTTACGTTTCTATTTTTGCTCCAGGACCAGCCCGTGGGAGCTGGCTGCTCCAAGACGAAAAGGAGGAGGTTGCTGCTAAACGAAACGTTACGGCAATAAAGCCCCAACGTTCATGCAATTCAATGCCCAACGTTCGGGCCATTGATGTCCAGTGTTCATACCATTAAACGTCATTAACGCACAACAACAAATCCTTCCT